GCTCAAGTGAAACCTGGAAGAAGTGTAATCCTTACCGTCACCATGATATCTATCCCCAATGTATCTTGCAGATAAGAAAGGTTCCCCGGTTTTGCAGCAAGCAGAGGTAGAGCTCATCGATCAAACCGTCTGTGTTTCCACCTATGGGATCATCACTTCCCGGATGCTCTGTGCAGGGGTTATGTCTGGCAAGAGCGATGCCTGCAAAGTAAGTCTTCCTCCTTCCCCTTACCTAACATGCCATGCTTTCCATAAATGCGTTCACATTTCAGCTACACAATACTGGTACTATCTAGGACAAGCCTTGTTCGTCCTTCCTTCATCTGAGTTGCCCAGATACTAATTATGATTCCATTGCCTAAGACCAGGGAAGCATGGAGAAAGAATGGGTTTAAAAAATTACCATCTACTTATGAGTGAGTACATACCATGTTTGTCTTTCTGAGTCTGGGTTACCTCACTCAGGATGACTTTTTTTCTAGTCCCACCCATTTGCCTTCAGATTTCCCGGTGTCCTTGTTTTTAACAGCTGAGTAATACTCCATTGTGTAAATGTACCACATTTTCTTTATCCATTCCTCTGCTGAGGGGTACCTAGGTTGTTTCTAGGTTATGGCAATTAGGGGCACCTAGGTTGTTTCTAGGTTATGGCTATTATAAATAAAGCTGCTATGAACATAGTTGAGCAAGTGTCCTTGTGGCATGATTGAGCATCCTTTGCATATATGCCCAATAGTGGTATAGCTGGGTCTTGTGGTAGGTTGATTCTCAGTTTTTTGAGAAACCTCCACTCTGACTTCCAAAGTGGTTGTACAAGTTATGCACTCTCACCAGCAATGGAGGAGTGTTCCCCTTGCTCCACATCCTCTCCAGCATGAGCTGTAGCTTGGATCTCTTGTGCGACTCCAAACAGAAGGAACAGGTGCTCTCTCCAACTCTTTAACTGGCTTTTGGGACCCTACTCCTTATACTGGGTTGACTTTTCCAGCCTGAATACATGGGGAAGACTTTATATGCCATGTTTTATTGATACTCATGGGACACCTGCCCTTTCCTAAACATAAACAGAGGAGGAGTGGATGAGGTGGGGGACAGAAGGGGGTTGGGAGGGACTGGGAGGAGGGAAGGAAGGACAAACTATGGCCAAGATGTAAAATAAATGAATAAATAAATAAATTTATTAAAAAATAAGGAATAGACAGAAGAAATTTCCACCAACACATAGCACATACAGAGTACCCCAGTGTTGCTACTTGTTCCCTTAGCAGCAGAACTACAGGATTCATTTACCTGTTACTCTGATGCATAGTCTGGGGAAGGGAAGAGGAAGGAGGCCAGGACAGAACACACTCATGTAGGCTCCACAGTTGTCCTGGGAGCTAGTGTTCTGGGGTTCACTACCCTGAGCCTTTAATTCCAATCCGTGCAGATCCCTCTCTGTTCTACAAAGAGCAAATAGATGATTCAGAACATAAGGAGCAATGGGGGCCTTTTCCACATTTTGCCAACCTTAGTTACAATGCTAGCACCTCATCTTCTTATACTGATGACTTCCATCCTCTGAGATCTTATTTGGTAGCAAGTACTAGGCAAGGTGTAGCTAGAGTTTTCCTGCCTGGCCCACAGTCAGGACAAATCTCTGTCATCTGCCAGTCCCACAGCTGCTCAGACCCAACCAAGTAAACACAGAGACTTATATTGTTTAAACTGTTTGGCCTAATGGCTCAGGCTTCTAGCTATCTAGTTCTTACAACTTAAATTAATTCATTTCTATAAATCTATACCTTGCCACGTGGCTCGTGGCTTACCGGCATCTTCACATGCTGCTTGTCATGGTGGCAGCTGGTAGTGTCTCCTTCTGCCTTCCTGTTCTTTCTTTTCTCCTCTCTGTTAGTCCCACCTATACTTCCTGCCTAGCCATTGGCCAATCAGTGTTTTATTTATTGACCAATCAGAGTAATTTGACATACAGACCATCCCATAGCAGCAAGGTCCTATATATGAATTCATTCACATCACCCTATCATCTTTATTCTGTAGCAAAGGGTAAACAGAGGCTAATGTTAGTGTGCTTTAGGTGCTTGTCATGATTGGTCATCTACATAGCTGTGGTCTACACAAGCACAAAGGTTTGGGCATTACATTAGACTTATAGAGCCAGCAACAATAATAAAGACCCGGCTTCCCTACTAGTCAGAATCTACCTAACGAGTTGTGAAATTACTGAACTGAGTGAGATACAGGGGGACATCTGCAGCATGTTCTTCGCTTCACCTCTAAAACAGAAACACAAAAAGCCAGATATTACACTTAAAGACCCAGGCTGTAGGGATTGTTTAAACCATAAATTATTACAGCTTCTGCTGTGTGGAGCTGAGCTGTCAGAGGCATTCTCAGATGAAAGCAGATGGCAGCCAGCAGCTCTTCGGGTCGCTTCAGTGGACCTGGCTGACTAAATCTTTTCTCCTTTCACCTTGGGTCAGTGAGCCAACTGCTGAAGCTGAATGGTCCACAAATGGAAGTTAGTCTTCCAAGACAACTGTGATGTCTTTATGATGATAAAGTGAACCCAGGCGATGCTCGGCATATAGCCAACACTAATTAGACATCAGCCCCTACTTTTGTTACTACTTTTGTGCTGCAATGACTACTAGTAGTTAATTCTTGGGGAATTTGTGAGAATTGCTTTCTCTTGCACAAACAAAACCGTGTCTGAATGAACACAACCTATTAAACACAAAAATGATGGAGATATATGTCTTCACGTTTACATTATCTTTTTGTGTAGGGAGATTCAGGTGGACCTTTGTCTTGTCGAAGAAAGAGTGATGGAAAATGGATTCTGACTGGCATTGTTAGCTGGGGACATGGATGTGGAAGACCAAATTTTCCTGGTGTTTACACAAGGGTGTCAAATTTTGTTCCCTGGATTCATAAGTATGTCCCTTCTCTTTTGTAACTGTACCTGTTGGATTTTTGACTGTGATTTACATGATAGATTCTCCAAAAAAGTGTGTAATTATGATCAATAAAATTAATCTTTTTTTTTCAACTGGAAATGTCAGATTGAGCACATCTGATATTCATTGCAAAGTAGACAAATTAATATATATTCCATAAAAGTTCCCCAAGTATATAATGATATTCACTCCAAGGTATCAAAATGTTATTGACTCACGGATGGAAGAAAACAAATGCAATCTCACAAACCAAGCCTCTAAAATAAAATGAGAACTCAGAGAGACAGATAAATATCTTTCCTGTGTGTTCCAACGCAAGCAGAAATGCTTACAAGGATTGAGACAAACACAGCACACAGCTAAGAAATTTCAGGGAAGCCACACCTGACTGTTACCATTCTCACAAAACTCCATGCACCAAACAACGGCACCTCGCAAACAGACATAAAGCAGAATTTGGTAACTGGCCGAGGAGAGAGGGACAGTGTTGCTATTCAATCCAATCTGTTCTACCTACGCCATGTTGGACCATGGCTGCACAGGAGCCATGCTGTATACAGAGAAAGAGATCCACCTCGACACAAAACTGAGAGTGGATCCACTCCCACACAAAGCTAAGGGTTTGCAATCTTCAGTGAAGTGATAGAAAGCAATATGGTAAGAGTTGGCCTGAAGCACATCTGTGGGATCCTCATCTTGATAAAGGTGGACAACAGTGAAGGGCCAGGGGCATTTTTGGTGAGTGTTCTGAGAGTTAAACTTTTTAGCTATGTTATCTCCTGGCCTTTCATTCTTTTTGTAAAATTTAAATTGTCAAGATTTTCTTTTTTTATTTTCAAAGCCTTGTAGTGCTTTGAATAGCTGTAAGTCTACAGTGCCGGCTCAACATATTCCAGTTCTTGATTTATCTTAATTTAGAGAGTTTCTCACTACACCTTAGAATAACATTTTCACTGTCAGAGCCCAGAGTTTAACCATGGTACCAAACATGGGAGAAAAAAGAATATTATTTATTTTCCCTGAAACAAAGTCAAAGGAGAAATAACAATACTATTGTTAAATGGGGCTCAGAATACTGTGTAGAATTGCAGAGAAAGTTGAAAAGTGAAAGGAGAGAGAACAGAAAGTGTTATTTTCCAAATTAGTAAAAATGACTGAAAAATTCTGACTACCTCTAGATAATGAATATTCCCAGTTCATGGAACATATTTTGATTTTCTAAGAGACTTTCCTTGGGAATAAGGACAAATATCACAATCACAGCATCTCTCTGGTGGCTGCGGATGTAACCCAGGGATAGACCATTTACCTGGGATAGACCCCAGTACTGTAAAGAAAAGATACATTTCTAAATGTTTCCAAGATGTCTGGAGTCCCCACATTGGTCTTAATAACGTGTGTGTGTCGGGGGAAGTGCAGTGGTTCTGAGCAGAAGGCTGAGAGGCAAGGTCTTAGGACCAACACCCAAGGCACTCTTTGCTTTGCAAACGTAATTCCAGGCTCACTAAGCCAGTTCTAAGCTATGCACAGGGTGTGGAGGGCACTGTGTGTTTGCGTGTGCATACCGACACAAGCGCTGTGCTTTTTCCTCAGGTGGGGTGTTTATGGTCCCTCCTCTCAAAGATAAAACAGTAACGAGCAAATCAGTAACGTTTTATGAGTTCTTGCTTCTGCCGGCCGCTTTCTTCTGTTCTGAGTAACACTCTGTGCTGTGCGTGGGGACCTAACACGTGCGTTGCTGACGTCCCAAATAGGCTGTCCTAACTGCTATCAGCGATACTGCCACTGCCCCTATGCCTGAATCAGCTTGGAAGGGGAATTATGCGGCTGGGTATCATTCATCTTCATGTGCTCATAACCCAGCAGGCTGCCTGACACACGGAAGATTATTCATAGCTGTTTGTTGATTCGGTAGATGAACACCCTCGCTAGACAGTGAGGACTGGAGTAAGCTTCAGCGTCACACTGGTCCAGGGAGAAGGCAAACTGGGACTGCATCCCGCCACCCCACCCCAACCCCCCCGCCCCAAGCCTATTCCTTGTCACAGTCCAGCTTGCAAACAGGCCATGTGAGCCGGTCTGGGTCTCCATCCACAGGGAAACGCATGGCAGGTAGCACCCTGAACAAACCAGAAAAACAGCCCTCCTCTACTCTGGAGCCCAAGGCATCAGGGTCCCACCCGCATCTACCTTTGCGGAGCAAGGTCAGCTATCAAAGGCCAGAGAGCTTCCACTCGCTGGCTTCGCCCCTCCCCTTCAGGCCAGCCGCTACAGGTAGATCTGGCGCCGCCCGAGGACTGCCTGCCGCGCCAGGTGGGTGGAGTGTGAGCTGAGGACTCTCCCTGTCCTGGACTCTGCACCCTTAGGTGCCTGGGTCTTGCCTCTCTCCGGAACGTCTGTTCTCTGCGCTGCCATGGAAGCGGCCAGAACCCCATCGCCCCGGGAACAGCTGGAGCTCTCGATCCTGGAAGGGCAGCAGGAAGAGCTGACGCCTCTCAACAGCCTCCAGATCCAGCCTTCCTCCGCAGAGCGCTCTAGCCCAGCCCAGGTAAGGACTTGGAGCTCTGGCGTGTGACAGCAGGAAAGGGGCCCCACACTGTTTAAGGGCGCTAGGGTTCCCTTTCAGCGTCCGGGACGCGCAAAGAGGGTGCCAGGCGAAAGAAGGCAAGAATGCCTTTCGGCTGGACCCCTGCACTACTGAGACCTCACCTAGAAACACTTCAGGAGCCCTGGGAAGGGGAGTGGCTTTTCCTTTCAATGGAGACAGACACCTAGGAGGTAGAGGTGGTGTTTGAAAGTTATATAAATTTTAATTTGGTTTTTCTTTCTTTCTCAAGCAAGAAGAGAACGATGGGTTGAATCATATTCGCTTTCTCTCCCTCTTCCCCCTCAGCACACCCCCGCCCCCCACCAACACTGGGACCATACAGTCCACTACCCCCTATCTCTACCCGGTTCTGTCCTCTGCCCTTCCCCATCTTCAAACACACTCTGTTTCTCCTACTTTGGTCCGGAAGAGTGATAGGCAAAGAACACAAGGAGGAAAGAACTGTGGCCAGACATAGGGTTGGTCCCGTGAACTTACCGGCTCAGAGAAGAAGAGAAATAACATCAAAGGTCTACCTAAGAACTAGCCTTGCTGTCTTTTCATCTCTGAGGAAGTCCTTGGGGTTGTGTAGGTTAAAACTCTTTTCTGATTCAGCCATGGCAGTGGCTGAACTTTATCCACAGATCAAATACTTGTAAAACATCAGAGAGCTTGAATTCTGAGCTGCCTGTCTTCTGATTAACCCCTGAGGTTAGCTTGAGTTTTACTGGGCACACTCAACTCTCTGGACGCCTCGTTTTAGCGTGGTGTTTCTCACCCCACTCCATCCCTCTTGTGCCCAAGTGATGATTTTAGTAGAAAATCCAAAGCCTGAAAACATTACTCTTGGTTGGCAGCAACTCCTGGAAACGGTGTGGCGATACCTTATTTCATAAGTACCTTGGAGAAGAATTTGCACCTTAGGTTTGTATGAAATTGGACCACAGATGAATTAAATTTGGAAAATATGGTTGAAGGCTAGTGCAGGTAGCCATAACTAGGAACTTTCTGTATGGTCCTCCAAGGCAGGGGCTGAGCATGGGAATTAGAAATAATTGCTTCAAGTCAGTTAGGCCCACCACACCCCCAAAGATTCAGGTATTCTCTAGGGAAAAAAAAAAAAAGGTGTGAGCTCGGACAAGGCTGTGAAATGATGTAATATCATATGCTCCATTTAGGCTTCTGGGAGCCCCAGACTGCCTGTGGACAACAACTGAGAAAAATGCCAAATCCATGCTGAGTATCAGAATTCTATAACTGCTTTGCACCTGCCTTGTGGAGATTATGCTTTCATGTCCTAGTGACTTCCTTGTTAGTCAGATGTACACAGATATGCCAGACTTCCTGCTAATATGGCCGTGTACGTCACTAAATAGTAAAGTTTCAGTGACTGGTGGAATGGAGTGAGGGTGAAGGGATCCATGAGAACCCGAAGGGCCTTCTAGAAATACTTGAATGGTGACATTTTTATTAGGAGAGAACGGACAAAAAAAACCCCCTCAAAACCTTCGCCTAGTGTGTTAATCATCCTGATTCTATAGAACAGGTGGAAATGCACTTCAGTTATTGGGGTTATTGGGGTTCAGTAAGGACTAGCTTGCACAAGCACAGGTTTTAGATGCTTAAGGTTTTTGTGTCAAGGTCTTCAGTTGTGTGATACTAGTTCTGAGTTTGATGCTTGCTTAAGTCCATATACTTTCCATGCTCTATGCTTTGTGCCTGTCTTACGTGAAATATCATGACACATAAATGTAGTTAATTATTATCAGCTTAGAAGGAGCTGTGCTAGTTAGCATAAACCATCAACTTGAGACAGCCTAGAATCACCTGACAAGAGAGTCTCGATTGAGTAATAGTATCGGGTTGGTATGTGATATGTTTGTGAGGGATTGTCTAGATTATCAATGGGTATAGGAGGGTCCAGGCTACTGTGGGGGATACCATTCCTAGGGTGGTATCCCTGGGCCGTAAGAAGACTGGTTAATCATGAGCCAGTGTGGGAGCCAGCCAACAGTATTCTTCCATGGATTCTGCTTCAAGTTCTTGCTTGAGCTCCTTTCCTGGCTTCCCTCAGTGATGACCTGTGGCCTGGAAGGGTAAACCAAACAAGCCCTTTCTGTCTTCTCCTAAGTTGTTTTTGCTCAGGGTGTTTTTTTTTTTTTTTTTTTTTAATCACAGCAACAGAAATGAAACCAGAGCAGGGAGGGTGTTGGTTTTCTGGTTTCACAAATGAAAGAGCTGAGTGAAGAAACTTAGGCTCAGAGATGCAACCAAACTGCCCAGGTTCACTCAGTGGAGCCCCCTAATGTTTGGACTCAGAGCTCCAAGGTCTCAGATCTATGCTGTTAATCAATTTAAAGAAAATATTACATTTATTTCCTCTGTGTGTATGTGTGTGTACATGTGCCATGGTGCACATATGGAAATCAGAGGATGACTTTCTGGAGTCAATGTTTTTTCCTTCTAACATGTGTAGACGGATATTTTCCTGTCCTGACCACCTGTTCCCAAATACCTGGCAGCTGCTTCCCAAATTACCACACAGAGGCTTGATATTATCTATAAATGATTGGCTGGTAGCTCAGGCTTGGTACTAGCTAACTCTTACACTTAAATTAACCCATATTTCTTATCTATGCTTTGCCATATGGCTCATGACTTCTTACGTCATTTTCTATACATCCTGCTTCTTCTGTGGCTGGATGGCATCTCCTCTGACTCTGCCCTTCCTCATCCCATCATTCCCAGTTTGGCTGTCCTGCCTAACTTTATCCTGTTCAGCTATTGGCCAGTCAGCTTGTTTATTAAACCAATCATGGTGACAAATCTTCACAGTTACAAAAGGATTTTCCACAGCAACCATGTGTGACCCAGGGATCAAATTCAGGGTGTCAGGCTTGGCTGCAAGGACCTTTACCTGCTGTACCATCTTGCTGGCCTCTGCTAATTAATATTATCATGCATAGATAAATACATATGACATGACTTATACCATTTCACTTATAGTTGCCTCAACTACAAATTATGTATTACTAATAAATATATGCAGTTGGGTAATATATTTATTTTTAAATGACACATGAGGACCAGAGTGGCAAATCTAGCTGCTGAGGAAATTGCAGGTGGATGGATGAATGGATGATGGGCAGGGAATAATACTGAGATCACAGCATCCCATTAGTGTAGGTGTCTTCCTGTTTGGAAAAGTTGAGCTACGGGAGTATGTGAGGAATTTTTCTCTCTTTCTTAATCTGGAATTGGAATGTAGGGGAAAAGGAATATAAGTCATGGAACTCCATTTTGTCTATTGTTATCACAGGTTAATAACCTTGGGCAAAAAATTACAAAAAAAATTGTAGGTGATAAGGTAAGACTGGAGGCCCTGACTCAGCAGTCCAGAGACATCTTAAGCGATGACATCATCATTGTATTAACAATAAATGAGTAAATTGAGTGTTCTGTGGTAACCAAGGCTTATTTGAGCTAACAAATTAGCCCTATTGCTGTGCGTCATTCAGTCTTGAACAGAAATCAACTGACTCTTTTGTGTTTTGGGTGAAAGGTGTGTTTTGATCAAATGCCAACGCGTCCTGATCCTGTATTAATGTCACATATTTGGTGGTTTACCTGGGGAGGTGGCGGATCTCTTGTAGAGTGTTCAGAGAAAAGCCTTGAAAATTCCACAGCTGTCTAATGCAATCATCGAACGCAAGGTGGAGTTTGCAAGCACCTTGTGAAAGAACCTGCCTGGGGCCTTTCAACAGATCACTGGTACACACCAAATTAGATCCAACTAACCTTAGCAGCAATAAAACCCTGAGTTGTTGGACCTGAGCAATTACTCAGGGCTCATGTGTTGAAGGTTTGGTTTCCAAATGCCTCAATGTACAACAATGGGGCTTTCGAAGGTAATTGAATCCCGAGGGCTTTGACTCCACTTATGCTGCTAGATTCATAATTTGATGACGGGATTGGAAAATACTGGATTCTTTAGGAGGTAGAGCCTACTTGGAGAAAGTATTCTCTGGGGTATGTCCTGGAAGGCTCTGATTGGTGCCCCACTCCTTCGACATTTTCTCTTTGCTTTCTGATTATGAGGTGAATGGTCTCATACTCCCACTGCTGTGGTGTTCTGCCATGGAGTTAGCTGACCGTGGACCCAAACCATGAAAACCACCTATTAAACCATAGTCCAAATAAATCTTTGAGCTGGTTTTCTCAGGTATTTTGTTATAGCAAGGGAAAGCTAACACACACACATGCTTTGCAGTAGGCTCTAGCTTTTCACTCTCTAATTTCAATTTCATGACTCTTGATGACACTACATCCCAATCCTTAGATTATTCTGTTGGCCAGTTCTGTTATGAATCAGCAAATGCTGGTTCCTGTTTTTTTAATACCTTCAAAAACCCTTCTTTCCATGTACAATGACAAAGATCAGGTTCTCACTTATACACTGAAGTTTAAAATGTTGATCTTTCAAAAGCAGAGAGCAGAAGCATCGTTATCACAGCCAGGGTAGGGAATAGGGAATGGAGGGATGGGCAGCAGGTGGTCAATAGGCACAGAGGTACAGTCAGACAGGGGAATGTCTCACAATGCTCTGTAGCACAGTAGAGAAATGACAGTTGACAATGAATTGTACATTTAAAAACAACTAGAAATGATAAACATTGGAGATGATGGGTCTACCCTTAAACCTGACACATGGATTTGGACATATCTCAGTGAACTCCATAAATATATACAGTTTTCACATGAGTTAGAAATAAATACAAGCCAGGCAGTGGTAATTCATACCTTTAATCCCAGCACCTTGGGAGGCAGAGGTAAGTGGAGTTCTGTGAGTTTGAGGCCAGTCTGGTCTACAAACTGAGTTCCAGGACAGCCAGGGCTATCACACAGAGAAACCTTGTCTCAAAATAAAATAAAATAAAAAGGAAGAAAATGAAATAAAAGAAACACAAGTTTTTAAAACTCTAAGGATAAAAATCCTGCCTCCTGTCTCCACTTCAAAACTCCCAAAGGGCCTTTGAGTAACTTCCTCTTGAGGTTCCATTCTGCCCTGTTCTAAGTGTGATTCAGTGGAGTGTGTCCCCTTGAGGTTAAGGAGCTGATGGCCTTAATTATGCATCAGTCTCTAGTAGGACTTTGAGACTATTTGTTGAAATCCAATGACTACCTCACAACTTCTGTTTGTTTTCTAGACGGACAAGGAAAGTCCCTGGAGTCCCTGTAACAAGATTGTGGTTGGAAGATGTAAACTGTGGATGGTCATTGTCACCATTTTCGTGTGTTTCGCTATAGTGATCATTATAAGTTTATGCCTTATAGGAGGTAAGGAATCCATTAACTATGTTGACACATTTGAAGACCTGATTGAATGCTTGTGGCTTACACTGAAATGGAACATGTACGTACTGCTATTTTACTATTTGTAACATTAATTGAAATATGGCTTGGGCAGCTGGTCATGATGATTTACAGCTGTAATCCTAGTCCTTGAGAGGCTGAGAAGGCATCTCTAGCTAAAGACCATCTTGGGCTATATTGTGAGCTTGAGGACAACCAGGGGGTACAAAGTTAGACCTTTTCTCAAACAAACAAACAAACAAACATCAAATAGAACAAAACTGGCTTGGAATATGTTGTGTGAGTGTGAGATATACACAAATCTCTCTCTGTTGCTTATTTTAAAATGGAAGAAGTATGAAGACTATTATTTTTCTTTAAAATTTTCTCATTGGTCTCCAAAGAAGTTCCTTAAATTAAAAAAATATAATATTTATTACTTTAAAATTCTGTATCTAGGTGTGTGTGTGTGTGTGTGTGTGTGTGTGTGTGTGTTTGTGTGTGAGATGTCCATATGTGCACATGAGTGCAGGGGCTGCACTAGTCCAGACGAGGGCACTGGAGCTTTTGCAACTGTAGAGACAAGCAGTGAGCTGCCCTGTGTGGGTGCTGAGAACTTAACATGTGTCCTCAAAAGAACCGGAAGCACTCTATCTCTCGGCCATCTTTCTGCTGCTTCAAATTTGAACTTGAACACTAATCTACATTTTATTACATTTTAATACCTGCCTCTTTGAATTTTCTTACGATTTGTTTAAGGAAAATCATTTAGTATATTTGGTATTAAATGATAAAATAATAAGTAATGTATTTGAGAGAGTTTAAAAAAAAAACTTTACTGAGGTATGTTGCAATAAGCCAGTGGTTTCCAACCTGTGGATTATGGCCCCTTTGGAGGTTGCATATCAGATATCCTGTATATCAGATAGCTACATTATGATAGCTACATTATGATTCATAACAGTAGCAAAATCACAGTTATGAAGTAGCAACAAAATAATTTTATGGTTGGGGCTCATCACAACATGAGGAACTGGATTAAAAGGTTGCAGCTTTAGGAAGGTTGAGAACCACTTACTGAATAAGCTGTCACTATTCTAACTTATTTTAGAAATAACGATTTCATTTGAGTTGAACATGTCTGTGAAACAAACATTTGCACGACACTAACAATATACTTTATATATATTATCTCACTTTATGGCTGCGTGTTTTGAATTAGAAGCAATACAGTTTTAGTCATCTTCCATATTATTAATAGTTTATCACATGTTCTTCTTCTCTTTTTCTTATTTGCATTTTTAACTTGAGATCAGATTTTTATATTCTAGCCCATCTTCATGATTCTAATGTTATATTGAGATTAAAAATTTTGTAAATAATATATATAATATATTGTATATAGTCTTCTATATGGTGATTACAGTATGTATAGTCTTGTACAACATTTAAAGTCTTTCAGGTTGCTACTATTTTAAGAATTATTTTCTGCATTTTTCAAAGTTTTAAGATGCATAAAGAGGATATACTACATGAAGTAAACAGTTTTTACATCAAAATTGAGGGAAAAAATATTGTTTTACTGGTGCATGGCAGTGGTTGGGGGAGGGGTGTTCATCCAGAGGTGGGGTTCTCCTAAGGTGGTATGACCTCCAAGAGGTCTGAGTTAGGTTCTCAGGAGCAAACAGTCACAGAATGTCACAAGGACAGGGAACTCTGAGTCTCTCTGGAGGGATTCTTGGGCACTTCTTTTTCAGAAAGCCAATTTGCCTGTTTCTTCCTTCAAGTGTGATAGTCCCTGGGAGCTTTTCACAGCCTTAAATTTCTCAGAGAAGCAGCCTGTCTACTTAGTTGATGTTGTTTAGGTGGGATGGGTAAATCCTTGAGGCTGTGAGCTTGTTTTAAGTAAGGAGCATCTCTGAGGTATGTTGCACCTCCTCCACCACACTGAAGACAATGGCTTTGTTATTATCATTGACACTGCCTTCACATCAGCTGCCACAGGTGGATGCTGAAACCAAAGTTGAGTCACAGAGTCTCCTCCTGTCTCAAGTCCCTGGTGCAATCCTGAAAGCTGACTGATTTGCCTGGTAGCAGCCAAAGAGCTAATAATAAAGCAGGTGGTTTAATATTCAGGACTTGAAACACAAGACTGGATGTCTATCTTGTCTCTAGAGATCACTGGACTTTAACCACAAAAAGCTATCTGCAGAGAGTTATTCAGTTCCCTTGAAAGGTTTTTTTTCAGAGCATGTGAAAAGTCATACTGTAAAATTCCAAAAATAACTATAATATGATTGCAAATTTGCATTTTAACATATGTTAATGTTATAAAAAAATCTACAAAATAATTTTTTTCTTCCCTGGGAAGGAATTATTTTATTTGGAATCTTGCCTGTCAGGCTCTAGGGCTTGCAGGGAGAATCATGATAGACTAAAGAAATGGAAACTAATTAAATGACTTTAATTTTGAAATAATACATGTTCAGTTAATGTACCAGTTAGTTTTATGTCAACTTGACACAAGCAAGAGTCACTGGAGAGGAACGAGCCTCAATTGAAAAAAAAAATGCCTCCATAAGATTAGGCTGTATGCAAGCTTGCAGCACATTTTCTTAATTAGAAATTGATGGGAGAGGGCCCAGAAAAAGCAGGCTAAGCAAGCCATGAGGAGCAAGCCAGTAAGCAGCATGCCTCCATGGCCTCTGCTCCTGTCTCCAGGTTCTTGCTCTCCTGAGTTCCTGTCTTGACTTCCTTCAATGATGAACAGTGATGTGAAGGCATAAGCCAAAAACACTTTTTTGTTTTTTGGTTTTTTTGGTGATGGTATTTCATCACAGCAGTAGTAGCTCTAATGAACAGAGTAACATATATCATTAATAATTTGTAATACTTTCTTCTGTTCTCTGATTTGCATTTTAAAATAATTTGAGACCCGTTTTCAAGATAGTAGCTTTCCTTGAAGGTCTTACGATCATTTTGACATCATTTTGCTAAATCACTAAAAATTCAGGGAAGAATCTGAGTGGAGTAATACAGATCACAATAGATTAAAAGAGAGCAAGCCAGCAGGCTGCCCTGTGTGATCGTGCTAGCCGCACCTAGAGCAGCTCTGCTAGCAGTTCTGGGATGACAGATGGCAATCATCAGCCCTGCCCAACTGCCAAGCCCACTGATATGAATCACATATTTGCAGAACTTAAGGTCCTGTTTGGGAAATAGGTGGTGTTGGGAGAACCAGGGGTCCAGATTTACTGAGACAAAAATGTTCCTCAGGATCCATCTTGCCCACTCCCATCCCATCTTTCCTCTCTCAAATCTCCGAACCTCCGATCTTAAGGCTCTTTAGTTCCCTGACAAGCTGGGCATTGAGCAGGAATTAACTATGCACTTGAAATGGATGCAGAACAAGACAGTGAGTGCATCCCGCACAAAAAAGGTAACTTAGGTGAGCAATAAGGGACCCATGGCAGGGTGTCCATGAATAAATTGTAACTGCCATTGTTAAGACTCATCTGACCTGTATGTAGTGATATTTAAGGCAAGGTGGTTGGTCTTAGTTTTGCTCTTCGTCCTCTAAAGACTGAACATTTGTGATTGTCTAACATTTGGGGTGGGCTCACCTCCTCCTCTGCTCTGCTGTGTAAGGAAGTGACAGGTAATTCACCGTCGCGACTCAGCTTCACGCTGACTGTATACACAATAGGGATGAGAGGGCATCACCCCACAAGATTCAGTTGACATTGACTTTTTTTTTTAATTGACAATTTTATGGGCAGAGTCTAGTGAAACTTACTGAATTTGGAGAACTGATTTTGTTCCAGTTCTGCAGAAAATTCTATTAATGGACAATTTCCTCCTTCTTGAAGAGCTATATAATTTTTGGTGTGAAGAGTAAAGGGGGTAGCTTAAGCACTGTTCTATTGCTGTGGAAAGACACCATGGCCAAGGTAACTCTTACAAGAGAAAGCATTTAATTGGGGGCTGTTTACAGCTTCAAGGTTTAGTCCATTATCATCATGTTGGAGATCACGGCAGCATACAGACTGGCATGTTGCTGGAGGAGTAGTTGAAAGCTATATCCCGATCTGCTGGCAGAGAGAGAGAGAGAGAGGGAGAGAGAGAGACAGAGACAGAGACAGAGACAGACAGAGATGGAGAGATACTGGAGACTGCACCTGGCAGGGACTTTTGAAAACTCAAATCCCACCCCCACTGACACACCCCCTCCAAGACCACACCCATTCCAAAAGGCCACACCGCTTACTCCTTCCAAATAGTTCATCAACCGGGTGCTAAGCATGCACATATATAAGCCTATGGGGCCCATTCTCATTCAAACCACCACACCACGTTGCGCGGGCAGGGCATCTTCCTCTTTCTCTCCCAGTCATTTTCCTTGTAGATAGTTTGGAGACCCAATGAGGCACCTTTAAGGGTTTCCTTTCACTCAGGTACCTTGGTTAGAACAGAGTAATACCACAGAGAGACGTGCCTCGTGACAAACAGGTGAATGCTTGGACATGCTGTAAAGTTAGAGCACTCTGAGTGACCCCCACATGACTTCGCCCAGCATCGCAGCTGACTCTTCCACCCTCTTAGTTTGTGGTGCCTGTTATAGGAAGGAACGTGGGGACACACTTGAAGCAGGGACTTTCTATGTGAGGCAGCATTGAGTGGATGGCTCCGTTCTTCAGTAGAGGGTGGGACTTTCACCTTTCCGTGTCACATGAACCTGGCACACTGTTTTCACAGGGAGATGCTTCCTGGTTTGGGTGACTCATGGGGAAATCCTTGGCAGATACAATGAACAGCTGTAATCTACCAAGGTTCTTCAGGGCAGGAACTTAATTGCTATTCCCTAGATCCACTTTCTTAAAGTTACTTCACATTTTTACCTGTCAGGTTTTCCACCAAATCTGTGGTGATTTTCCACCTTCCCAAGACTCAATTCTCGTGTTCCCTACAGAACATCATATGCATCC